CTCAGCCACGTGCGTTTGTTTATATTTTTACCATCTGTAGCCTATATAATATATTTAACTAAACTCGAGAATCTTTGGATAGATGTTTGGTGTTTTTTTTTTTGTTATTTTTAAATATTTTGGAAAAGTTAATCGACTCGGATAAAGGACGATGATGAGACTGGCTTTCTAAAGATTAGGCCTCCTTTTATATAGAGATTGTAGCCTACATACTAGACTCAACATAACACTTTCATTTTTCCTTGATTATTAACAAGCTGGTAATCCGAAACAAAGCATGTAAATCATGCCAATATTATTCAACATGCCATCAGTGCAAAACATCAACAGGATGAAACATTAAGATTACCAACTTTCACTTTAGTAAAAACACCATAAAAACACAAATTTGAGAATTATTACTCGAGTCAAGGTCCGGTGACAAGATAACCTAATAATTCCCTTGGTAAGGGGGGGGGGGGGGGGGCGGCATGGTTTAAAACTTCCAGAGCAGAGGTGGCACCAGTGGTAGACTGAATGCGCGAACTGAGTAACAGTCAGGAATACCCCCGTGTTAAGGGTGCAAGGCGCGAATTTCCTCAAACCTCTAGCACATTCATTAACATGAGTTTGTGTTTGATTGATTTTTACTATTTAGCATGATTGGTTTCTGAATCCATCACTGTAGTAGTAATATTACGGTAGTATTAGTAGTAAGCCTAGTAGTAGTAGCAGCAGTAGCAGAGCAGATTACTGCAAGTAGTAGCAGTAGCCTAGTAGTAGTAGTAGCAGCAGCAGCAGTAGCAGCAGCAGCAGTAGCAGTGAACCTGGGTTTCAGTGCCATTCATGCAAGAACGACACCTTTCTGGCGCCGTTAATTAAAAGAATGTATATCGATATTATGAAACGTGTTACCCACGCATATAATTCATATGAATAAATCAAAAACACTTTGACAAATATTGATTTAAAATAGATGAGGAAGATTTCGTATACACTGAACGTATAGAGTGAGAGTAGGCCTTGTGTATGGGCACACTCACACTCCAGGGGCGGATCCAGAGATTTCCAAAAGGGGAGGCCGAAAGTGGGGCTGATCGAGACAACACCAGCCTAGGGCGTCCGTTAAACTTGTTTCTCTTCACCCAGGAGTATAAATGGGTACCTGGTGGGGTTGCCTGCTCCTGTGCTGATTACCAGCAGCAACACTTAGCATGTGGACCCAATGAAAAGGAAAAATAATCGCTTTTTATCTGCAAAGAAAAGGCGCTATATAATAGGATAGGCCTAAAAGGGCTGAAATGCAAGCTACAATAGGGCACAGTCTTTCGGATGAGAGGTTTAAGCCGTTGGTCCCTTGTGCACTATGGCCAAGAACGCAGTACACTCTTCGAAAAAGAGTAGGGGATCGTCGTCTCCCGGTGTACGGTATTTTCCAATCAATACCAGAATGACCGCACTGGAAATAGTTCTTCTTGGTTTTTTACACCGAATAAATCCAACCAACAACCAAATAGAAGACATTCCTTCCCACAAAATCAGTCATGTAAAGAGAAATTAATTGGTTCATTAGATGGTCACATAACACAATGCACTATAAAATACCTTTGAAGTATATACGTATACATTTGACATTGTTCAGGTTTTTCTGTGTTGTTGGAGAAGTAAGTATTTTCTTTTTACACTAGGCCAATCATGAATAGATTTGAGAGCCGAACCTTCGTACTCTTTGAATGCATTCAATGTCATTTTCTTTAGATATTTTCGTAGGCACTACAAAAATATTTTTTTTAGACAATTGAAATAATGGCATTATGAATGAAAACTGCACAGGTGTTCTAATTTTATTTTTTTACGCATTGCAACTCACTATCGATCTTTAAACTCGGGGTGGAGTTCCCACAAAGTTTAAATTAACCTTCAACCGTTAGTTTATTTCTATTACTTCTATCCAGATGAATATTTTATCCTGATGACTCGAGAAGAATTTATTAATTTTTTCAGAAGCATGAAGCATTATGTAATTTACTTGTTACTGTTTGTTTAATATAATCTATGCCTTAAACTGCCCTTATAATGGGAAACGAATTCATGCTTTTAAGCTGTAATTACCATATACATAATTGCTGTTTACATTCCAAAATTTAATAACTTAGAATTAGATAATATTTACACATTAGTTCTTTCAAAACAACTTATCATCTTCAAACATTTTTTGTCAGACTGAAGCTCGAATCTGCCCCCAGAGATGGTCTGGTCGTTAAGGGAATCCGTCGCATAGACACCTCTGCGCGGTAGTTAGCGTGAGATCAGGATCCGCGCCTGTCATGCATGTTGAAAATGAAATGAGCTTAAATTTGAGAATGACGCATAAAAGTATTACGGAGTTAATACCCAGCAGACACTTAATGACAAATGATGCTTTGTCCTACTTAAGTAATAAATGACCTACTATTCTAACACAATGACAGATCAAAATTAAATGTTAACTTAGCTTACCATAATCTTAACCAGAATAGTAAGTCTAAACATGCATTTATTTACTCCCTTTTACATTAATAATGAAAGACAGTGGGCAAATCATCATAGCCATTCGGTGCACTCTACAAATTCGCACCCACCCAATAAAATTTCTGCTTACTGGCCTGTACACCACCATTATATCAACATCTCCCTCACTATAGTCCCAACATCTACACCACCACTATTATATCAACATCACCCTCACTATAGTCCCAACATCTACACCACCACTATTATATCAACATCACCCTCACTATAGTCCCAACATCTACACCACCACTATTATATCAACATCACCCTCACTATAGTCCCAACATCTACACCACCACTATTATATCAACATCACCCTCACTATAGTCCCAACATCTACACCACCACTATTATATCAACATCACCCTCACTATAGTCCCAACATCTACACCACCACTATTATATATATATATATATATATATTTATCCATTTGTGTTTAGGCCAACGATTAATGGACATTACTGTCAACGACACTATATTTCAGAACTAATACATATTCCTCCACGTTTTTGGATTCTACTAGGTTCTCTGTCATGTGCGTCGAATGTAACTTTCGTTATCGTAATCATTATGCTTCTAATTTATCAATTTGATTTGAAGGTATAAAATATAATTAACATATCATAATCATAATCATAACTCATTTTATTGCAATCGTATAACAGATTGGATAATAAAAAATATTCAGAGTAATAAATAAAACTCAAACAGGCACAATAAAAAGACATTCATAGCTAAAGAAACAAAAAACCAGCCGATTAAAATTAAGAATATCATTATCATTATATATACAAAAAATATCAGTTATCCATAATTAATATTTACAAAAATAAATTATAAAAATCCTAATCACAAGAACAGGCAATTCCTAAATGTCAAAAATTAATTCATATAATTAAAATTTATCATTATTTACAAAAATTTATAAAAATATAATTCTAATTCAGAATTTAGATCAAAAGAAGAAGCAAACTCTAAATATCTAAAATTCAATAAATAAATTGTTACTGTATCAGTTAGATAAAGAAAAATAAAATAAACAGAATACCCATAGACACAAGAACACCACCAATTGAAGAAAAAAGAAAATAGAAAATCATTATCTCATTATTATCTGTTATCAATTACAATGAAACACAGTAAAAAACAAATAAAATTAGGAGGACGCAAAAAAAAAAAAAAAACAAGACAAGAAAATATGTTACCAGTTTTTAAAAAGGCCAATGTTGGTAAGGAAATGTTTTGAGCGCTTGATGTTTACCTTAGGAAGAGCAAATATCCTCGGAGCCCTAAGACTGTATGGGACCGCAGTTGCTTTAGGAAGAAGACCATGTAATCTGTGGGAGGGGTTCTTTAGTTTACAAAAATATTCCATGCACATTCGAGTGCGCCGTTCCGACAAGAGAGGGAGATTTAGGGTGACTCGGTCCTAATCGTAACCAAACCCCAGGGACAATAATTTTTAAAGCTCGGCGCTTAATTTGTTGAAGTTCCTTTTCTTGTCCTGTCGTGATACTCATTCCCCATACAGGAACGGCATACAGTTTTATAACACTAACAAAAAATTGTAAAAGGTCCGCTGAGTCAAGCCCAGATCGGCGGAGATGTTTTCGAAAGAACAGTCTCGAGTTTGCTTTGGCCAAAATTGAGTCGACATGTAGGTCCTCAGAAGAGGTTATCAGATATTATAACACCCAGTAATTTGTAACTACTTACATGACTGATATTGGTGTCGAGGACAGTTAGAGGATCAAAATGGGATTTGTTCTTTTTACAGCTTATTTTAATAAAATGTTAAAACATTTCTACTCTATTTTTAGCATTGGGATCCATATGGTTTTCTTTTGCCCAATTAGCAGCAGAATCAAGGAGTGGCTGGAGCCCACTTCTCCCATCTCCACCAATGCACTCGCAGACGGAGGTGTCGTCCATATACTTAATGCAAGGCACCCCCTCCAACAAGTCATTTGCGAAGACGATGAAAAGTATGGGCCCCAGCCATGAAATTTGAGGTATACCACCGTTAATTGAAACCTATGGTGAAAAAAATATTATCTATCTTTATCCTTTGTTTTCTACCACCGAGAAAAGATGAGATCATAAATTTAAATATATCGTGTTGCTCTAACAGAATTATCTTGGGGGAATTATATGTGGAGTTCAAGTACTCAGTCTCATCATCCATGGCCCTACCCAAGGGGCTGATCCAGTAGGGGAACGGGGAGGGGGGACATTCTCTCCGTTTTGCTGCTAAATTAAAAAAATTCCAATGCAAAGCAATGTTATGTGCTACTCACTTACCTAGTCTGAAACTGTTGTGCCCCCCCCCCCCTTCCTTGTTTGAAACATTCTGGATCTGCCCCTGCTACCCTTTACAGATTTAGGTTTATCGTTCGTCGCTCCTCCCCCACCCCACCCACTCCCAACCGAGCCGTTTTCTATAATTCAATATGCGGATAACACTCACCTACTCCATCACTACATTTGGCGGTTTCCTTCACTATTCCTGTGCCGTTTACTTTTCCGCCAGGCCAACTGTAAACATACATCCGGGTTCCCGTAGAGCCCGCGTCGAACACAACTCCATGCTACATAGTAAAAACATGTTAAAGATAATTAATAAACTGATAATTATGTAATTATTGAGAGTTAAAATAATGGCATAGTAACAATAAATCAACATAAAAAAATACTTAATAATAATAATAATATTAATAATAATAGTAATAAATAATAATAATAAGATAATAAAATGATTAATATGCTAATGATGATGACAAGGATAATAATGATAGTATAATAATATAATAATAATATTGACAATTATTATTAATAATAATGATAATAATAAATATTAATATCATTAATAGATAATTGTGTAAGAAATTATAATCCTGTTGAGCTTTGGTGAAACTAAGGATATATTTTCGTACTTTCTTAGTAAACAAATAGGCAGATCTTTCGAACTAAAGTCCTTGATAATGGACCTAACTGGACGTAAATTGATGAAAAACACAACACATTTTAAGAAAAGAACTATAAGCAATTAATCGTAAACATGTTTCGGGTATTACTTTTAATAATCAACTTTAGTACAAACAGAAATAGTATAATTAACTAAAAATTCGTAACTATATTACTACAATAACGTTATAATAATTGATAATGATAAATAATAAAAGTAATAATTTTATAATATAATAATAAATAAAAATCATCATTAGTCCTATATCCCGACACGCCGTATATCAGAAATTTACAATATTTAACAGATACCAGTATGTTAAATCTAGAAGGTTGGTGTAGGCCTATGCTGATTTCAGTTTCTCAATTAAGAAGTGGTGACCAACCATTTTGATTGATCACTGTCCCTTAAGATGTAAAATGATTGCCCATTAAAAAATAACAACATTCCGCGAGGTCGTTAGCAGTATAGGCGTACAGAGTCGAGCATTAGACTACTGTATAGGAGTAAGTACGTTTTCGGACATTCATCTCCGTGTGCTATAGTCCGGCCTGCCTCGTTTTGACCACCCGGCCCAAGGACCCTGACCTGGGTGTTCTGATATAGGCCTAGCCTCTTAAAATAAAAATTGTGTGATCGGGTTTTTTATCTGATATATTTGAAAGTTTTATCCGAAGATGCAATGCAATCAAGGTGGTCTCAAGGAGGCCAGCTGGTCCCTCTCCCCACCCTAAATGTTTGGATTTTGTTTAGAAGGAGGAAAAAGAAAATAACATTCACATTTAACTGCCACTTCATAAAAATGCTTTTCTGAGTCCCCGACCAGCTCAATTCGAGTTCCTCCTCCACTACATCTGGCAGTGGCCTATTAACATAATTGTGCAGAATCCAATCGACGCGTAAGGTAGGCCTAATTTTTTTTTCTATCGATTGATTTTCGTATTAATATTAATATATTTCATGTTACAAAAACTAATACAACACTTAATCAATAATTATAAAATTGTCTTGGACTGATCTATACCGTAAAACCTTTAATTGAAGCCCAATGGGCTTAATCTCGAGAAGAAGCCAGCCTCGAAAACAAGTCCATCTCGAAAAGATGTCCATGGGCTTCTTTTCAAGAGGCTTCTGTCTGAATTTCAAAAAACAAAATAAATTAAGAACAAGCTTGGTTTATACATTTGTTTAGGTGATTTAATGCCAGTTAATGCATCCATGAAAAGAATGATGTTCAAGTGGCCTTAATTATTGTTTTAGGACATATTCCTTAAATTTACAGCATTCATTTTGAAAAGAAACCCCAACCCCTTAACTTTGCAAAAGTAGCCTCGAAAAGAATCCCATCAAAGTTAAAAAAAAAAAAAAAGCCTAAGGCTTCAAATCGAGGTTTTACAGTATAGGGCCTATTACAAGAGTGAAAGGTGTTTCAAGTTGCCTGTTGGCGTCAGTTGCGCATTTGTAAATGAGAGTGTGCGCTGCATCACTAAATCAATAAATGGATGTTTCGTGGCATCAGCGTGTGAGTGATTTTTTTAAGTTAACATCTTTGCTGAAAATTAGTGATGTGAATCATTAATGATCATTTGATGATATCACTCCTCCTTGATCATCCTAATTTCTTATCCCCACATTCATGAGAACGAACAAGGCTTTTCTACAGACTGAATGCGTATAATAGAGTGCAATAATTTTATGAGGATTTGTAATGCGTTTTGTGAAAAATATCTATATATGCAATCGTTTACCATTAATATTCAATATAGCCTAGACCAACAAACTTTATAAAATACAATACGTCTATTATTAGGCGAAATCTATTCATGTTAGTTTGTCATAAAATTATCCTAATGTTTCGATTGGTTTTTATGAGAAAGTTTTATACAAGATTTTATAGGCTTGATATAAAAATACATTGTCTGTGTTTGGAACATACATGCATAATACGAATGTATAACATGCCTAATATCGATTATCAACTGGAGCTTGTACTAGTAATTCATAGAGTACTGGTAAATTCACGATGGTAGAGTACAAATGTAATGAGCACGTATTCATATTCATCACATTAAAAAATGAGAACACAAGAAAGTTTAATCAGAATACGACTTTTGGTTGTCTAATGAAACGAATCTACGTGTTTAATACGTCGATATATGCCTATAATAATACAATGCCTGCGATAAGATAGCTCGTGTCATGTACTTGATGTGATTGTATGCACGGTCGAGCGTAGCGGTTCAAGCCTTTTGATAGGAAAGTACTTTAGCGCTTGATTTATCAAAAAATATGATTAATAATAAATATCACCATAAAGGAATAATCAGAGCGCATTTGATTTAAGATGCATTGAATGAATTCCCAATTGCTCAGTTTTCCGAAAACCGAGCACAGAATGCTTGATTACTAGAATACCCGAAGTATTGCCGACGGGATGCCTGAATGAACCGTGTTTTATGCCGCGGGGCGGACAGGCGTAAACGCAAAAAAAAAAAAAAAAAAAAAAAAAAACAAAGAACAAAAACAAAAACAAAACAAAAACCAGTTTCGGGCAGAGAGATGACCAATAAATGAGTTTGCTGACGTCAACTCGTCCCTTTTATGGCGAATTGGCGAATGTTGAAAAGTCCATTTTGGAGAAAACGCATTATTGTTTTGAGTATTGCAATTTGTCTGAGATATGATTTTAAAGAACGATAGCTCTGCTCCACCAGAGTGTAGCGTTGTGTGTCAAGACCCATTATCAAAATGACTCACTGTAACACATTTGTTTAATTTTGGTGAATATTGCACGTAGACACTACAGTATTCTAGTAATCGTAGCCGATTATTAAAATAATTGTCTGGGTTATTAATCATCAACTTGTAAATGAACACCCAAACCATTGATAATAATAAGGCCTACATTTAAAATAGGCCTATACATAAAAGCAATACATCACAATACATAAATTTACATTAAGATTTCTGAAACCCATGCTTTATTATTTTTTGTTGACTTAAAGGTTACCTACTGCCCTTTACAACAGGGTGTTCCCTATTAATCAATATAGGCCTATTTATTGAAACAAACTGTTTGGAAAGTCACAATTATACAAATATTACAAATATTATATAGGCCTAGGCCTATATAAAAAAAACCAAAAAGGGTTTATTTTAAAAAAAGTACTTATAATAAAAACAATAAGCAACATTTCATGATATAAATAAGTACATGCTTTATGCCTCCGCCGGTATAAAATCATTTTGTTAAAAAAAATAAAAAAATAAATAAAAAAAAACCAGGAGGCGTAACCACCCTTTTCCTCTTTACCCCCAGTTTTTAAATATTCAAAAATCTGTTTTTCAATAATCGTCGAACACCCTTTTGCGTCTTAGAAATTCAGTTGAACAAAATTTCATTTTGTTTCCTCTGGACCATGGCTTTAAGTTTTGAGTTCGCACGCATTAATAGTTTTAATCATATCGTTCCTTCAATAATTAGCAATTATATAGTTTCTGAATGATCGTTCCATAAAGATATGTTACACATTCGCTTCAAGGCGTTGGAAGTTTAATTTGGCCTGTCTGATAGCTTATTGTGTCGCCAACGTTATAGCTAGTGATTCAGAATTTCCTATTTAACATGTTTCTATAAATTAGTAGGCGCATGGATGCATATCCATTATCTATTGTTATTGGAGGAAGAGTGATGTATAGCAGTGGAACGGTAAAATGACGCCAACCCTGTGTTTAGTGGTTGGCAATCAGTATAAAGCTATTTTACAGCACTTTTCATGACTTCACTGAAAATATCTAGTAAAATTGCTTGATGAAAAACCGATATGAATCTAAAATGTACAGTACGTACTGAAGGCAAAGATAATAAATAGCAAAAGATAGAGCAGCTTCCCAATATAGTGGAACATCCGTTCTAAATGCATTGTGGGTACACGGAGGGCGATTTCATCCCGTCCGCGCGGCGGCGCTATATATCAATAATAATTAAAGGTGCCGCTCAGGTTCGTTTGTTTCCTGTAGTTTCTCCACTTAGTCAAATGGTCAAATTTTACCCCATTCGCGGGAGGCCGGATGTTCCATCAATTTCAATGCAAATACGCGAAACAGCTCATTTAAGTTCTTTGCCGAAGGTAACGCTTGGTTCACGCTGAGTAAGCTGCATCACATCCGATCCGAACCAAATTTCGTAGAACGTTTTCAATGCACGTCTAGTACGCGCCTCCATTCTTTACCATTGATTCGATTTTCCTTTTTTCGTTTCGTTAAGCCAATCAAACCGATTTGATTTGATTTGATTTGAAACCGAATTCGAATTAGGTAAGACGTATTGATGCAAACGCAGGCAAACCTTACGCGTATAGTCAGGGCAATCTACGATTTTGAGTGTAGCTGGATTGCTCATCAACCAGCATCGACCAATCATTGTACAGAAAAAGCTGAAGCCACCGACGCCATGCAAGAGCCCAGTTGACGACGTTCATTCTAGTTAAAGCCCCATTCCCGGGAATGGGGCTTTAAGTTTTTTTTTTTTATGGCGTTTGTTTAAATTATTGTTAAACATAACGAATCTTGAAATTTATTATTTAAAAAAAATCAAATGTTATGAAATGTTTTTTTTTTAACCTCCATACCTAGCTCAAGATACGAACTACATCGAAATGGATTTGGTGGTTGGGGTGGGGTGGGGCTCGATGATTAATTAGGCCTAAGTAAGTGAGTGAGCGCTAGCTTGCAAAATAAGGTAACATGAGGTGATATTTAACTACTTAAACGTATATTATTTTCATCAAAAATTTCCAGTGGGGGAGGGGGAGCTTCTCTGAAGAGTGCCCCCGCGACGTTTTAGATACACCACTGTAATTTAGGCCTACAACGTCGCACTATTTGATACGTGAACATAAAAGTGACGTACGCTGTTTGGGATTCCTGAGATTGTCTGTGGATTACCCCAGGCGCACCAGGAGATCAATGCCACTACGCCAACAATCAGAAGCAAAGTACCAACTATGAAGTACGTCCGAGACGGCGACGTTATCACCCTAGGCTCTCCTCCAGTTTCCATCTTCTCCATGGCCGGAATTTCCAAGCCTATTCGATAGATTTGTACAAATAAAGTGTTGAAATAACTGTTCTGCATTGATTAGTAATTATTGTATTTAATTAATAGGGATATTTGATTAGACAGAGCAGTAACGATAACGTGAGTATACAAGAAGAGAAAGAATACAATGGCTATAGGGTCTCAGAGCTCAGAAATAAAACATTAATCTTACGTTAAGACAATCTTCTAAAATTCTATATAAAATGTAACCAAAAATCAAATACAGGAAATAAATTAAAAAATACAATATTTGATAATTAACATTATGTAATGAGTATGCCTCAAGAAAAAAACTTGAGGGATTAAAAATTATCAAAGCTTGTACAGTGCTTAAGTGACAGGTTCAGGATACTTGCTCTGGTTCTGTGAGGGGGAAGGGGTATAAATGATTTCGAACTTTTATCAAAATTGGTTTGACCCTTCCTGAATTTGTGTCTTACTAAGTGATTTCTCTCAACGGTTGCGTGTTCTCAAATTGATATAGTACAATTTAGAGCTTCTTAGAATTTACAAGCAGACAATAATGGATTTTCCGGAGTGTCAATCAAACTTAACATTAGCCAATCAGAATAGAGCCAAGAAAACACGCATGTCCCTCAAACAAGTTTGCGTACGTTTAAGCTGTCAGTTTGTGGGACATAGGCAGAGCATTATCCTAACGGCTATTGTGTCAGATTAAAAAAATACTGTTAACTAATTGTACCTTAACTTTTTTATTGAAAAATTATAATTTATCTCTAGCGCCACTACTGATGCAACAGCAAGTAGACCTGCTCTACACAGACCTACACTTACAGGTTGGGGCGATGCTCTGTAAACTAAGCCTTTAGCGGCTTAGCAGGTGGTGTTGTTTTACTTACAGGTCATAAAAATCCCCGTGTTACAAGAATAGAACCCAGAAACCTAGAGGGTGGGAAAGGTAAGCTTCTTAGCGACAAATAAATTTTTACTCAGTCTTCTTGCATGATGCATTAAATCAATGAGTATCTCCGAAGTGAAACGCGTTTATTTATCGGTGCATATTGATCTCTGTTGTTTGATTATTAAAATACATTACATCAAAAATTCGGGTAATTCTATATAAAAGGAAATCAATACGTTGCACAAAATACCTTATATATCCGTCAAAAGATCTTTAATATGTTAAGTGAGCTTTTACTGGTTAAAAGAGATGCAGCGTGCACGCAGATATTCCACTGTCAAAGCAACTACTGTATCTATTTCCTTTCGATTCATTCCCGACTGCCGGAGTTATGAGCATTTTACTGCATGAAATCCAAATATGTGATTAAAAACATAACAGTCAGCAAATCCGCTCACCATAAAGTATCCCCACGTCACGAAAGAGAGGGTCTTTGTGTTACTCTAATCGACTTGCTCTATGAGTACTCACCTTTATTCTGGTGTCCCAGGCAACAAATGAATCGCTACAGCAAATGCTGCCTCTCATACGTACAGTTTTTGCAAGTATATCGGCATTCGTAACGCTCAGTAGCGATTGGTCTGAATATTTAATGACGTAATTACAATAAATTTCAAGATATAATGATTTATACTTATACACACACCTCTTGCTTATATTATAAACAACCCTCCGGTCCAAGATAGGATTTTGACCTTGTGCGTGTGGATGAGATGGGGTGAGGTTAACACTTTTTTTCGTATATGTATATAGGCCTATATAGGCGAGTGTGAGAAAAGTAATCCCAACCGGGATTTGAACCCGAGAACACACGTTGTCTATGCAACCCCTTAAACTGGGCAACTGGGGCTTCATTGAAAATTCTAATCGGATAAAAGCAACTGATCTTTCACACTCTCACACATGCACATTTGAACAGTACCGTACTAGATAAGAGACAAATCTTCTGTGCATTATATTCAGGAGATCAGCTGGATCTCGAATAAGATACTTGTAGCCTAATGATAATGATTAGCATTTTCTGACGGTTCTAAATTGTAGGTGGCGTAAACATACTCTATCTTTAATTTGTTTGTTGTTCGGAAGTCACTAGAATTCATAGAATCATAACTGTAAAACTCTATATGAAAAAATGTGCCAGTAAACTCTGAATCCTTGTCATTTTTCGTCTACAACGTAAATTCAGAAAGTCAATAAGATGCCTGAAAATTGTTGAAATTAACTGCATAAATGATTAGCTTTTAACGAAAGACCACTGTACAGCTAGAGTACATTTTAATTTATAATAAGATACCGGTGCCTCTGCCCACAAACATCTGAATTACCGTAAATGCTCGAATAAGCGCAGCACCAAACCTGATTTTTTTTCCCCGTTAAGCTCCGCGGCGCTTAATCGAGTGTATAATTGCCCTACGTGTAAAGAAATAGCACGAGAAACAGGCTTTTAAATACAAAGTATACCATTACCAACCTGAGAGATTTGAAATGCGTGAGTGGCTACACCAGTGGGGGGCTCAACCGGAGTCTAGGGGCCCCTGGCGCTCCGACGATCTGAGTATTTGCTGTTTTAAAACGATTTCAGGGAGTGTTTGTTGACAATACCGGGTATTTAAAAACAACACTTTTACTAAAGCCACGTACAATTTGAGTTTCAATGTATGTTACTGATGAATTTTAGTAATACATCAGTGAAGTTAGTATTCACTGTACTTATCTGACTGCGTGCGTGTTTGATGCCTACTGACAACACTGCAGTTTCAGTCACATACGGTAGTACTTTAAATCAACGGTTGGTTGCGACAATGAAAGCGCAAGATCGCACGCGCCTCCTAGACTGTCGGTAAATTGATCCTCGAATGAGATAAAGCTCTCTAGGGACTCAAAAATTACTGCATGACCGTTTTATATTTTTAATAAAACCAATCTCTTCTAATTTTAAATTCATTTCCCTGGAATTCGTGACAATTCGTTATCACACATAGACTTGTGCTAAATGCGTGACCAATTTATGATCACGCATGTATTTCTGCAAAATTCGTGTTTCATCCAAAATTACTTTGAAATGCGGGACCTTCCCGCACGATGCGAGACGGTTGCTAACTATAATGAGGTTTAGAGGTGTTAAAATGAATAAAAAAACACAATAAAAACGTGAGGTAGGTAACATGCACGGGCATGGAAAGAACCACGCTAATATTTTTTATAAGCGCCGCACTGGAACCTCCATTAATTTTACAAACGCCGCGGCGCTTATTCGATCATTTTACGATGCTATAATAAACGACTCGAGTGCGCGTGCCTTTATTATAATTTGAAAAGTGGCCTATGAGAAAAGGTGTGTGAAGATAAGACTGGTTTTTACATGAAGTAGGTAAAGTTCAGTAAATACATCAAAGACAATTAAGTTATATTTTCCATGGTGCATCTCAGCGGTTAATTAGATCAATGATGATGAACTTTAGTTAGACACTGTCTCTTATACACATCTAGATGTGTATAAGAGACAGTGGTTCTACAGGTGACTGATGAGTGTCCAGATCTTAGGAGTAAACTATTTGTATCCCAGTCCAACGAACCAAGGTAAAAACCATTAAATTTTAATCTTTGTATATAGATACCGTATACTGTGCAGGGGCGCTGGGGATGTGGAGAAAAAATAAAACTGACCATAGAGCTAAAAAAAAGGGATTATTAAATTGAAAACCAAGCTGACTCTCAGATGCAACAACATGTAACATCACTGAAATTTTCACCAGCAAATTAAAGCACAAAACCTGCTGGTATATCATACACCATCTCTCAAATGAAGTGAGCAATTAGCG